AAGGGCATAGCGAGTGCAAAATAGCAAGAGCAAAGGCCTAGCGTGTGCAAAAAATCAAGACTAAGGGCCTAGCGTTCGCGAAATAGCAAGAACAAGGGCCTAGCGTGTGCAAAATGAAAAGAACAAGGGTCTAGCATGTGCAAAATTGCAAGAACAAGGGCCTAGCGTGTGCAAAATAAAAAGAACAATGGCATAGCGTGTGCAAAATAGCAAGAACAAGAGCCTAGCGTGTGGAATATATAAAGAACAAGGGCCTAGCGTGTGCAAAATAAAAAAAACAAGGGCCTGGCGTGTGCAAAATTGCAAGAACAAGGGCCTAGCGTGTGAAAAATTGCAAGAACAAGGGCCTAGCGAGTGCAAAATAGCAAGAGCAAGGGCCTAGCGTGTGCAAAAAATCAAGAACAAGGGCCTAGCGTTCGCGAAATAGCAAGAACAAGGGCCTAGCGTGTGCAAAATAAAAAGAACAAGGGTCTAGCATGTGCAAAATTGCAAGAACAAGGGCCTAGCGTGTGCAAAATAAAAAGAACAAGGGCATAGCGTGTGCAAAATAGCAAAAACAAGGGCCTAGCGTGTGCAAAATAAAAGATAAGGGCCTAGCGTGTGCAAAATAAAAAGATCAAGGGCCTAGCGTGTGCAAAATTGCAAGAACAAGGGCCTAGCCTGTGCAAAATTGCAAGAACAAGGGCCTAGCGAGTGCAAAATAGCAAGAGCAAGGGCCTAGCGTGTGCAAAATAAAAATAACACGGATCTAGCATGTGCAAAATTGCAATAACAAAGGCCTAGCGTGTGCAAAATAAAAAGAACAAGGGTATAGCGTGTGCAAAATAGCAAGAACAAGGGCATAGCGTGTGCAAAATAAAAAGAACAAGGGCCTAGCGTGTGCAAAATAAAAAGAACAAGGGCCTGGCATGTGCAAAATTGCAAGAACAAGGGCCTAGCGTATGCAAAATTGCAAGAACAAGGGCCTAGCGAGTGCAAAATAGCAAGAGCAAGGGCCTAGCGTGTGCAAAAAATCAAGAACAAGGGCCTAGCGTGTGCAAAATAAAAAAAACAAGGGCATAGCGTGTGCAAAATAAAAAGAACAAGGGCCTAGCGTATGCAAAACAAAAAGAACATGGGCCTAGCGTGTGCAAAATTGCAAGAACAAGGGCCTAATGTGTGCAAAATTGCAAGAACAAGGGCCTAGCGAATGCAAAATAGCAAGAGCAAGGGCCTAGCGTGTGCAAAAAATCAAGAACAAGGGCCTAGCTCACGCGAAATAGCAAGAACAAGGGCCTAGCGTGTGCAAAATAAAAAGAACGAGGGTCTAGCATGTGCAAAATTGCAAGAACAAGGGCCTAACGTGTGCAAAATAAAAAGAACAAGGGCATAGCGTGTTCAAAATAGCAAGAACAAGGGCCTAGCGTCTGCAACATAAAAAGAACAAGGGCCTAACGTGTGCAAAATAAAAAGAACAAGGGCCTGGCGTGTGCAAAATTGCAAGAACAAGGGCCTAGCGTATGCAAAATTGCAAGAACAAGGGCCTAGCGAGTGCAAAATAGCAAGAGTAAGGGCCTAGCGTGCGCAAAAAAATCAAGAACAAGGGCCTAGGGTGTGCAAAATAAAAAGAACAAGGGCATAGCGTGTGCAAAATAAAAAGAACAAGGGCCTAGCGTATGCAAAATAAAAAAAAAAAGATCATGGGCCTAGCGTGTGCAAAATTGCAAGAACAAGGGCCTAACGTGTGCAAAATTGCAAGAACAAGGGCCTACCGAATGCAAAATAGCAAGAGCAAGGGCCTAGCATGTGCAAAAAATCAAGAACAAGGGCCTAGCTTTTGCGAAATAGCAAGAACAAGGGCCTAGCGTGTGCAAAATAAAAAGAACAAGGGTCTAGCATGTGCAAAATTGCAAGAACAAGGGCCTAGCGTGTGCAAAATAAAAAGAAAAATGGCCTAGCGTGTGCAAAATAAAAAGAACAAGGGCCTAGCGTGTGCAAAATAAAAAGAACAGGGGCCTAGCGTGTGCAAAATAAAAAGAACAAGGGCCTAGCGTGTGCAAAATTGCAAGAACAAGGGCCTAGCGAGTGCAAAATAGCAAGAGCAAGGGCCCATCGTGTGCAAAAAATCAAGAACAAGGGCCTAGCATTCCCGAAATAGCAAGAACAACGGCCTAGCGTGTGCAAAATTGCAAGAACAAGGGCATAGCGTGTGCAAAATAAAAAGAACAAGGGCCTAGCATGTGCAAAAAAAAAAGAACAAGGGCCTAGCGTGTGCAAAATAAAAAGATCAAGGGCCTAGCGTGTACAAAATTGCAAGAACAAGGGCCTAGCGTGTGCAAAATTGCAAGAACAAGGGTCTAGCGTGTGCAAAATAAAAAGAACAAGGGCCTAGCGTATGCAAAATAAAAAGAACATGGGCCTAGCGTGTGCAAAATTTCAAGAACAAGGGCCTAACGTGTGCAAAATTGCAAGAACAAGGGCCTAACGAATGCAAAATAGCAAGAGCAAGGGCCTAGCGTGTGCAAAAAAACAAGAACAAGGGCCTAGCTTTCGCAAAATAGCAAGAACAAGGGCCTAGCGTGTGCAAAATAAAAAGAACAAGGGTCTAGCATGTGCAAAATTGCAAGAACAAAGGCCTAGCGTGTGCAAAATAAAAAGAAAAAAGGCATAGCGTGTGCAAAATAAAAAGAACAAGGGCCTAGCGTGTGCAAAATAAAAAGAACAGGGGCCTAGCGTGTGCAAAATAAAAAGAACAAGGGCCTAGCGTGTGCAAAATTGCAAGAACAAGGGCCTAGCGAGTGCAAAATAGCAAGAGCAAGGGCCCAGCGTGTGCAAAAAATCAAGAACAAGGGCCTAGCATTCCCGAAATAGCAAGAACAAGGGCCTAGCGTGTGCAAAATTGCAAGAACAAGGGCCTAGCGAGTGCAAAATAGCAAGAGCAAGGGCCTAGCGTGTGCAAAAAAAAAAGAACAAGGGCATAGCGTGTGCAAAATAAAAAGAACAAGGGCATAGGGTGTGCAAAATAAAAAGAACAAGGGCCTAGCGTATGCAAAATAAAAAGAACATGGGCCTAGCGTGTGCAAAATTGCAAGAACAAGGGCCTAATGTGTGCAAAATTGCAAGAACAAGGGCCTACCGAATGCAAAATAGCAAAAGCAAGGGCCTAACGTGTGCAAAAAATCAAGAACAAGGGCCTAGCTTTCGTGGAATAGCAAGAACATGGGCCTAGCATGTGTAAAATAAAAAAAACAAGGGTCTAGCATGTGCAAAATTGCAAGAACAAGGGCCTAGCGTGTGCAAAATAAAAAGAAAAAAGCCATAGCGTGTGCAAAATAAAAAGAACAAGGGCATAGCGTGTGCAAAATAAAAAGAACAGGGGCCTAGCGTGTGCAAAGTAAAAAGAACAAGGGCCTAGCGTGTGCAAAATTGCAAGAACAAGGGCCTAGCGAGTGCAAAATAGCAAGAGCAAGGGCCCAGCGTGTGCAAAAAATCAAGAACAAGGGCCTAGCATTCCCGAAATAGCAATAACAAGGGCCTAGCGTGTGCAAAATTGCAAGAACAAGGGCCTAGCGAGTGCAAAATAGCAAGAGCAAGGGCCTAGCGTGTGCAAAAAAAAAAAAGAACAAGGGCATAGCGTGTGCAAAATAAAAAGAACAAGGGCATAGCGTGTGCAAAATAAAAAGAACAAGGGCCTAGCGTATGCAAAATAAAAAGAACATGGGCCTAGCGTGTGCAAAATTGCAAGAACAAGGGCCTAACATGTGCAAAATTGCAAGAACAAGGGCCTACTGAATGCAAAATAGCAAGAGCAAGGGCCTAGCGTGTGCAAAAAATCAAGAACAAGGGCCTAGCTTTCACGAAATAGCAAGAACAAGGGCCTAGCGTGTGCAAAATAAAAAGAACAAGGGTCTAGCATGTGCAAAATTGCAAGAACAAGGGCCTAGCGTGTGCAAAATAAAAAGAAAAAAGGCATAGCGTGTGCAAAATAAAAAGAACAAGGGCCTAGCGTGTGCAAAATAAAAAGAACAGAGGCCTAGCGTGTGCAAGATAAAAAGAACAAGGGCCTAGCGTGTGCAAAATTGCAAGAACAAGGGCCTAGTGAGTGCAAAATAGCAAAAGCAAGGGCCCAGCGTGTGCAAAAAATCAAGAACAAGGGCCTTGCATTCCCGAAATAGCAAGAACAAGGGCCTAGCGTGTGCAAAATTGCAAGAACAAGGGTCTAGCATGTGCAAAATTGCAAGAACAAGGGACTAGCGTGTGCAAAATAAAAAGAACAAGGGCCTAGCGTGTGCAAAATAAAAAGAACAAGGGCCTAGCGTGTACAAAATTGCAAGAACAAGGGCCTAGCGTGTGCAAAATTGCAAGAACAAGGGTCTAGCGTGTGCAAAATTGCAAGAACAAGGGCCTAGCGAGTGCAAAATAGCAAGAGCAAGGGCCTAGCGTGTGCAAAAAAGCAAGAACAAGGGCCTAGCGTTCGCGAAATAGAAATAACAAGGGCCTAGCGTCTGCAAAATTGCAAGAACAAGGGTCTAGCGTGTGCAAAATTGCAAGAAAAAGGGCCTAGCGTGTGCAAAATAGCAAGAGCAAGGGCTTCGTATGTGCAAAAAATCAAGAACAAGGGCCTAGCGTTCGCGAAATAGCAAGAACGAGGGCCTAGCATGTGCAAAATAAAAAGAACAAGGGTCTAGCATGTGCAAAATTGCAAGAACAAGGGCCTAGCGTGTGCAAAATAAAAAGAACAAGGGCATAGCATGTGCAAAATAAAAAGAACAAGGGCCTAGCGTGTGAAAAATAAAAAGAACAAGGGCCTAGCGTGTGCAAAATTGCAAGAACAAGGGCCTAGCGAGTGCAAAATAGCAAGAGCAAGGGCCTAGCGTGTGCAAAAAATCAAGAACAAGGGCCTAGCGTTCGCGAAATAGCAACAGCAAGGGCGTAGCGTGTGCAAAATAATAAGAAAAAGGGTGTAGCATGTGTCAGATATATATGACATAGCTGTTGTAGGCTATAGTGGGGTAGCTCATATGGGGTACAGCTTTCTAGGGTTTGCTTTTGTACCCAACTTTCACTTAGTCATTTCATTCCTGTTCAGTATTCTCACATGGTATAGAGCGGGTTCCCTGTGGGAACATCGCCTAGGGCCCACCGAAGTGCGCCCCGAGGCGCGCATTTTTTTTAGCGACCCCTCGAGTCGCCCTTTCCCTCGCGGCCCCGCTGTTCCTCAGACGCGGCCCCGCCACCCTTCCTGGCGGCCCCGCCATCACGTCGCGGCCCCGCCGTCCAGTCGCGGCCCCGCCGTCTGATCGCGGCCCCGCCACCCGATCGCGGCCCCGCCGCCTCGTCCCGGCCCCGCCGCCCCGTCGCGGCCCCGCAGCCCCGTCGCGGCCCCGCCGCCCCGTCGCGGGTCAGCCGCCTCTGATCACGCGGCCCCGCCGCCCCTGCTACGCGGCCCCGCCACCCGATCGCGGCCCTGCTGCCCCGTCGCGGCCCCGCCGCCCCGTCGCGGCCCCGCCGCCTCTGATCACGCGGCCCCGCCGCCCCTGCTACGTCGGCCCCGCCGCCCCTACTTCGCGGCCCTCGCCGCCTTGCTCACGCGGCCCCGCTGCCCCTATTACGCGGCCCCGACGCCTCTGCTACTCCGGCCTCGCCGTCCCTGCTACGCCGGCCCCGCCGTCCCTGCATCGCGGCCCCGCCACCCCTGCTACGCCGCCCCGCCGCCCCTGCTACGCGGCCCAGCCGCCCCTCTTCCGCGGCCCCGCCGCCCCTCTTTCGCGGCTCCGCCGCACCTGCAACGTCGGCCCAGCCGCCCCTGGTCTCGCGGCCCCGCCGCCCCACCTGCAGCAGCCGAGCCGCCCACCTGCAGCAGCCGAGCAGCAGTGCAGCCGAGCCGCCCGGCACCCGAGCCGCCCTGCCGCCGAGCCGCCCGGGAGCCGAGCCGCCCTGCACCCAAGCCGCTCGGCAGCCAAGCCGCCCTGCACCCGAGCCGCCCGGCACCCGAGCCGCCCTGCCACCGAGCCGCTCGGAAGCCGAGCCGCCCAGCAGCCGAGTCGCTGAGTCGCCGAGCCGCCCTTCTGCAGAACTGCCCAACCTGCACTGCCCGGTGAGCACAGTACCGCTGTCACTGCGTCCACCTCCCCTACTGCTTGCACTGCTTCGCTGTCGTCGTCATGGCTAGCCCCTAGTGTCCTAGCTTTTGACGCTGAGGGTCGAGCCATTGACTTTGAGGTCTGGTTAGACGACCTGCAGTTGTTTTTACAGTGCGATAGGGCAGACGGCCTCTCTCTCTTTGACCTCACTTCTGGCGCCTCTCCTGCCCCTGCTGCTGATGCTGATCCCACTCTGCGCTCTCAGTGGGCCACCCGCGATGGTGCTGCACGTCTTGCTGTGCGTCGCCACCTCCCTACCTCTAAGCGCGCGCACTTTAGTCAGTACAAGAGTGCTCAGACCTTGTACGACGCTGTAGTTGCGCGCTACTCCTCCCCTGCCACTGCTGCACTGAGCCGTCTCATGCTTCCCTACCTCTTCCCTGACCTCTCTGCCTTTCCCACTGTCGCTGACCTCATTACGCACCTCCGCACTAGTGACACTCGCTACCGCGCTGCCCTCCCTGCTGAGTTCTGCGCTAAGAACCCCCCCCCCCCCCATGTACATCACTCTCTACTACGTAGTCGCGCGCCTCCCTGACTCCCTTCGCGTAGTCAGGGACCACTTTCTCGCAGTCTGTCCCACCACCCTCACCGTCGACGTCCTCGAGAAGGCCCTCCTCGCGGCGGAGAAGAGCATCGTCGCTGTAGGAGCTTCTCGTGGTGACCCTCGCACCCCCATCATTGAGGGGTGCTCTCCTTCACCCCTGCTGCCCTCTGTTGCCTCTGCTGCTGCTGCCGACCTACTTGGTCTTGAGTCGGTCGGCGCGGCGTCTGCCCCTAGTGGGAGACGCCGCTCTGGCAAGGGCAAGGGGGGCAAGGGCGCGGGTGGAGCTGGAGGGGGCGGTGGAGGTGGCGGTGGAGGCGGCGGAGGGAGTGGAGGTGGCAGCGGGAGTGGTAGCGGGGGTGGTGGTGGTGGTGGCAGCGGTGGCGGAGGCGGCGGTGGTGGCGGCGGCGGCGGTGGTGGTGGCAGCGGTGGAGGTGGAGGCGGCGGTGGAGGCGGAGGAGGAGGCGGTGGTGGCGGAGGGGGTGGAGCTGGTCGGGGTGGTACCCAGCAGCGGAGCGGTGGTGGTGGTGGTGAGCGCCCGCAGCAGCAGCAGCAGCAGCAGCGTTCGCGAGACATCCCTCCACCCCAGCAGCTTCGTGATTGGTACTCTCGGCGTCAGAGGGGTGGGGGTGCAGGTCCGTGTGCCTACGTCCTTCATTTCGGCGACCGCGCGGGTGAGCAGTGTGGGGGTGCCCACCCCACCCAGCGCTGCTTTGGCCGCCTGCCGGACGCCTGGCGTCAGCAGTTTCCCGAGGCTAGTGAGATTCCCCGCTGGGATGAGCTTCTTAGGGCTGGTGTAGCGATCTTTGATCTTGCTATTTTGCACACGCTAGGCCCTTGTTCTTGCTATTTCGCGAACGCTAGGCCCTTGTTCTTGATTTTTTGCACACGCTAGGCCCTTGCTCTTGCTATTTTGCACTCGCTAGGCCCTTGTTCTTGCAATTTTGCACACGCTAGGCCCTTGTTCTTGCAATTTTGCACACGTTAGGCCCTTGTTCTTTTTATTTTGCATACGCTAGGCCCTTGTTCTTTTTATTTTGCACACGCTAGGCCCTTGTTCTTGCTATTTTGCACACGCTATGCCCTTGTTCTTTTTATTTTGCACACGCTAGGCCCTTGTTCTTGCAATTTTGCACATGCTAGACCCTTGTTCTTTTTATTCTGCACACGCTAGGCCCTTGTTCTTGCTATTTCGCGAACGCTAGGCCCTTGTTCTTGATTTTTTGCACACGCTAGGCCCTTGCTCTTGCTATTTTGCAATCGCTAGGCCCTTGTTCTTGCAATTTTGCACACGCTAGGCCCTTGTTCTTGCAATTTTGCACATGCTAGGCCCTTGTTCTTTTTATTTTGCACACGCTAGGCCCTTGTTCTTTTTATTTTGCACACGCTAGGCCCTTGTTCTTGCTGTTTTGCATACGCCTTGCCCTAGTTCTTTTTATTTTGCACACGCTAGGCCCTTGTTCTTGCAATTTTGCACATACTATACCCTTGTTCTTTTTATTTTGCACACACTAGGCCCTTGCTCTTGCTATTTCGCGAACGCTAGGCCCTTGTTCTTGATTTTTTGCACACGCTAGGCCCTTGCTCTTGCTATTTTGCACTCGCTAGGCCCTTGTTCTTCCAATTTTGCACACGCTAGGCCCTTGTTCTTTCAATTTTGCACACGCTAGGCCCTTGTTCTTTTTATTTTGCATACGCTAGGCCCTTGTTCTTTTTATTTTGCACACGCTAGGCCCTTGTTCTTGCAATTTTGCACATGCTAGACCCTTGTTCTTCTTATTTTGCACACGCTAGGCCCTTGTTCTTGCTATTTAGCGAACGCTAGGCCCTTGTTCTTGATTTTTTGCACACGCTAGGCCCTTGCTCTTGCTATTTTGCACTCGCTAGGCCCTTGTTCTTGCAATTTTGCACACGCTAGGCCCTTGTTCTTGCAATTTTGCACACGTTAGGCCCTTGTTCTTTTTATTTTGCATACGCTAGGCCCTTTTTCTTTTTATTTTGCACACGCTAGGCCCTTGTTCTTGCTATTTTACATACGCTATGCCTTTGTTCTTTTTATTTTGCACACGCTAGGCCCTTGTTCTTGCAATTTTGCACATGCTAGACCCTTGTTCTTTTTATTTTGCACACGCTAGGCCCTTGTTGTTGCTATTTCGCGAACGCTAGGCCCTTGTTCTTGATTTTTTGCACACGCTAGGCCCTTGTGTGAAAGGAATGAACAGGAATGAATTGACTAAGTCAGAGTTGGGTACAAATACAACCCTAGCAAACTGTACCCCATATGTGCTACCCCACTATAGCCTACAAACATGCATCAGCTATAATAATCTGACACACCCCCATAGGCAAAGTGGGGGAGAACAAGGGGTCACAAGACCAGTCAAGCAAAGCAAAGCAAGCTCAGGGTGGATCACAAAGTCACCACACAGTCCGAGCACAAGAGCAAGGCCAGAGGCCAATTCACATGCAGGAGTACAGACATATATATAAAACTAGACAAGCAAGAGCAGGTATATATATGTCAAAGTACAAGTAAAGTCAAGAAGAGAGCAAGTGAGGCAAGACAGGTACAAGACCCAGCTGGGTACAAAAGCGCTGATGGTCGCAAGGCGCAAGTGCCTTGGTGAACACATCAGCAGTGTTGGCCTCAGAGGCCACGTAAGCAAGTCGCAACTGACCACGCTGCTGCAGCTCACGAGCAAGGAAGTAGCGGAGAGCAATGTGCTTCGTTTTGTGCTCCAAGCGCTGCTCTCGACACAAGGCCAACATGGCCTTGTTGTCTACGTACAGCACTGGAGGAGAACGAGGCAGCTCTCCAAGGTCAGTCAGCAGGTAGGTGAGCCAGCGAAGCTCCTGTGCAGCCATGGCCCCGGCGTAGATCTCAGCCTCACAACTGGAGCCGAGAACCGAAGACGAGCGAGTAGACCGCCACGAGACAGAGCCGGAACCAAGGCTGAAGGTGTAACCCTGTGACGACCGCTGCGTAGCCTGGTCGTCAGCCCAAGAAGCGTCCGCGTGGCCGGTAAGGACCACTGGACTCCGCCCTCCAAGCACTAGCCCCATGCCCGACGTGCTGCACAGGTAGCGCAATACACAAGCATGCGTCCGGGCACAAGCATGCGACCGGACTCAAGCATGCGTCCGGACACAAGCATGCGTCCGGACACAAGCATGCGACCGGACACAAGCATGCGTCCGGACACAAGCATGCGTCCGGACACAAGCATGCGTCCGGACACAAGCATGCCTCCGGAAACAAGCATGCGACCGGACACAGGCATGCGTCCGGACACAAGCATGCGACCGGACACAAGCATGCGACCGGACTCAAGCATGCGTCCGGACACAAGCATGCAACCGGACACAAGCATGCGTCCGGACACAAGCATGCGTCCGTACACAAGCATGGGACCGCACTCAAGCATGCGGTCAGACACAAGCATGCAACCGGACACAAGCATGCGTCCGGACACAAGCATGCATCCGGACACAAGCATGCGTCCGGACACAAGCATGCGTCCGGACACAAGCATGCGACCGGACACAAGCAAGCGTCCGGACACAAGCATGCGACCGGACTCAAGCATGCGTCCGGACACAAGCATGCGACCGGACACAAGCATGCGTCCGGACACAAGCATGCGTCCGGACACAAGCATGTGTCCGCACACAAGCATGCGTCCGGACACAACACACAAACATGTGTCCGCACACAAGCATGCGTCCGGACACAAGCATGCGTCCGGACACAAGCATGCGTCCGGACACAAGCATGCGTCCGGACACAAGCATGCGTCCGGACACAAGCATGCGACCGGACACAAGCATGCGACCGGGCACAAGCATGGGACCGGACTCAAGCATGCGTCCAGACACAAGCATGCGTCCGGACACAAGCATGCGTCCGGACACAAGCATGCGTACGGACACAAGCATGCGTCCGGACACAAGCATGCGTCCGAACACAAGCATGCGTCCGGGCACAAGCATGCGACCGGACTCAAGCATGCGTCCGGACACAAGCATGCGTCCGGACACAAGCATGCGACCCAGCACAAGCATGCGACCGGACACAAGCATGCGACCGGACACAAGCATGCGTCTGGACACAAGCATGCGTCCGGACACAAGCATGCGTCCGGACACAAGCATGCGACCGGACACAAGCATGCGACCGGACACAAGCATGCGTCCGGACACAAGAATGCGTCCGGACACAAGCATGCGTCCGGACACAAGCATGCGTCCTGACACAAGCATGCGTCCGGACACAAGCATGCGTCCGGACACAAGCATGCGTCCAGACACAAGCATGCGTCCGGACACAAGCATGCGTTCGGACACAAGCATGCGACCGGACTCAAGCATGCGTCCGGACACAAGCATGTGACCGGACACAAGTATGCGACCGGACACAAGCATGCGACCGGACACAAGCATGCGTCCGGACACAAGCATGCGACCGGACACAAGCATGCGTCCGGACACAAGCATGCGTCCGGATACAAGCATGGGACCGGACTCAAGCATGCGGTCAGACACAAGCATGCGACCGGACACAAGCATGCGTCCGGACACAAGCATGCGTCCGGACACAAGCATGCGTCCGGACACAAGCATGCGTCCGGACACAAGCATGCGTCCGGACACAAGCATGCGTCCGGACACAAGCATGCGACCGGACACAAGCATGCGTCTGGACACAAGCATGCGTCCGGACACAAGCATGCGTCCGGACACAAGCATGCGACCGGACACAAGCATGCGACCGGACACAAGCATGCGTCCGGACACAAGAATGCGTCCGGACACAAGCATGCGTCCGGACACAAGCATGCGTCCGGACACAAGCATGCGTCCGGACACAAGCATGCGTCCGGACACAAGCATGCGTCCGGACACAAGCATGCGTCCGGACACAAGCATGCGTTCGGACACAAGCATGCGACCGGACTCAAGCATGCGTCCGGACACAAGCATGTGACCGGACACAAGCATGCGACCGGACACAAGCATGCGACCGGACACAAGCATGCGTCCGGACACAAGCATGCGACCGGACACAAGCATGCGTCCGGACACAAGCATGCGTCCGGACACAAGCATGGGACCGGACTCAAGCATGCGGTCAGACACAAGCATGCGACCGGACACAAGCATGCGTCCGGACACAAGCATGCGTCCGGACACAAGCATGCGTCCGGACACAAGCATGCGTCCGGACACAAGCATGCGTCCGGACACAAGCATGCGTTCGGACACAAGCATGCGTCCGGACACAAGCATGCGTCCGGACACAAGCATGCGTCCGGGCACAAGCATGCGACCGGACTCAAGCATGCGTCCGGACACAAGCATGCGTCCGGACACAAGCATGAGACCGGACACAAGCATGCGACCGGACACAAGCATGCGACCGGACACAAGCATGCGTCCGGACACAAGCATGCGTCCGGACACAAGCATGCGTCCGGACACAAGCATGCGACCGGACACAAGCATGCGACCGGACACAAGCATGCGTCCGGACACAAGAATGCGTCCGGACACAAGCATGCGTCCGGACACAAGCATGCGTTCGGACACAAGCATGCGACCGGACTCAAGCATGCGTCCGGACACAAGCATGGGACCAGACACAAGCATGCGACCGGACACAAGCATGCGACCGGACACAAGCATGCGTCCCGACACAAGCATGCGACCGGACACAAGCATGCGTCCGGACACAAGCATGCGTCCGGACACAAGCATGCGTCCGGACACAAGCATGCGTCCGGACACAAGCATGCGTCCAGAC